GTGCCGTCTATTTTAATCAAAACGCGACGAATACTACTTGTTAGGTAAATATAATTGCAGTTTAATTTAAAGGAACAACAGTGCTTATACAGTGGTATGAATATACAGGTGGATATGATCGAATCAATCAAGGATATTTGTCTTCGATTTTATTTTAGTTGTCTGTGTTTTCCCTGTATGTAAAATGCCTTGATATTTTCTAAGTGTTATTTTCCATTGCGCATGTTCGTTTAGATTTTTGGGAATGGATTTTTTTCACTCCCTCTTCGGTTTCATTCCTTTGCTCTTGCAGCACAAACGGCAGAGGCATCTACATGTCAACCATATCGCCACTACAATCACAGTAACCAAGGCAACAAGGAAAGCAATGACATCAAGTAAATAGTACTGGTACCAAGGAATGTTGAACACTTGAGGTCTAAGATGCTTGGCTCCTCCATGCCTCAGTACATAATCTATCCAGTCACAGGCCTCTTGTAGAGGAGTGCGTCGACGGTCTTTTAACAGGCTGGATATACGCATTGCAGTTTGTTTGAATCTGAAACGCAAAGAGCCACTTGAAATTCATTTCAATCCCTAAATCGATAAAGCTACGTTTTAGAGCTTCCCTTCATGACAATGTTTCATATGAAGTAAATTGAAACATTACTTTCAAATATCATGAGTGAAGGATTCATTAGATTGCGCTCTGATAAAATTAAAAGGAGCAAATTTAAAATGACACAGACATGTACAATTTGCATCTTTCAAATTTAACGAAAAGACTTTGGAACGAGCAATTCTTATGCGCCACTTCGAACTGTCGACTGCATTAATCTCAAGCTGATTAATGAGAGTTTGGGTATGGAACTTTTTGGGAACTGGACATCAACTTGGCAATTCGAAGGGAAGAGACTGTAAGTAATTGTTGCTAAAGAATAATGTAAATGTAATAATCGTTCATCAGTGTAGGACGCCTAAAATGCGTGCAGCTTCACAATTCCTCTTGTTATAAACTTTATACGCTTAGCAGTTAGTTAGAATTAAAAAAAAACGGGCACCGATAATTCAACTACAGCTCTGTGCCATTTACACTCCGTTGACAAGGATCCAGAGAATTTTTTGAACGGACAAATTTTTAACCTTTGCAACCCGTTTACACGAAACCATGCAAATTCTGTTACAGATTGCAGTACTGTTTGGCGTTCAAAAACGGAACCGTCTAAACGGCACCTTAACCTATAAAGCCTGCCCTTCTGAAAAACAACACTAAAAGATTCACGACCAATTAATTAGCAATATAGCGCCTGAAAAACATCGCAAAATTTTTTTTTCAGAAACCTAAATTTCTTCAGTGCTTAAACTCGACATCATGCAGTCAGTTCTCTGTTTTGGTCCGAAATATTGAGAGATTATTGCGAGAATTTGTTTTAGCAAGACTTAATAGAGGTGTGGATTTGCAAACGCAAGGTCTTTTTGTTGTTGTGGCGGGAAAAATATGAATAACAAACAATAGAAAACAAGCGTACAGACTTCACTCAATGACGTTAACTTCTTGGTTTGGAAACGTTTTTTCGAAAACGTTAGTTACGTTCAACGGAAACTTCAATCAATTGTGCAAGGTACACAAAAATATCCCTTATATCTGCGTTTTAAACCCATTTTTGAATAGCACAGTATTCAGCACATTTCTGTATAGGTCTCCGAACAATCCAATAGAGCCATCTAAAAAAGGGCAATGGTTTAATGATCAGAAACAAGAGAAAACATGAACTATCAATACCTTGGTTCACTGATAACCATCTCTATCGTTGTAGACAATTCCTGAGCATTAGTACGGTCATGGTACACTGTTAATCCAAGGTCAAAATTTTCCACCTTTTTAGCATTTTCATACTGCTCTGCAAACAGAGGGAAACAGACCAAGGGAACTCCATGATATGCAGATTCATACAGACTGTTGTGACCCACGTGCGAGAAAAACGCCTTGATGTCTTTGTGAGCCAGTAGATCATTCTGAGGTAACCAATCCATAACTTTGATGTTTCTGCCAAGGAAGGGAGGTATGTAGCCTGCAAGAAAGTAATTTGTTAACAACCTTTTATAAGAACTGATCACCACCTAAAGGAGGCAATGCCACGTTTAAGAAAACCATTTATCCCCTATCTTGACCCAAGGAATGCTTATGCTGAGGGACCGCGAAGGGGGTGGGGCCCTTGTCCTCATTCCACTTTTGACTCGGTCAAAATTAATCACCTGTTTTTTTTATTTTATTATTTTACCCGGTTTTTATCTTGTCACATTCGTCATTACTAAACCTGGAATTGACCGAGACAGAAAGAAAGAAAGAATATCAATTTCAGTTAATAATAGGGAAAATTATAGGATATTGCATTTTAAGCCTCATAATAAATGCAAAGGCTTATAGGCCTCAATATATTTTCTCATTGGGGTCTGTGTAACAAAGGCTACCTTTCGAAATTGACAAAAATGATCAAAAATAGGACAGTTCCTTCTTAGGTATGGGGTTTTTACACACGTCTGTTAGTCTAAAACTGTTATAATCTGTAATAAGTGCAGGTTTTGTTTTTTAAACCACTTTGCCACTGTTAGTGTGAAACTGTTAAAAACTGTACCGAGTGGTTGTGTTAGCCACTTTACCTCATCTGGGGTTAAGTTTCTTTGGTGGCCTTATAATCAATAATGGAAAGGACTTCTTACGTTGACCGTTTTGTCCATTTCCTTAAAACGTGTTGAACACTGGAAATGAAAACCACCCCAAATCAAAAAGAAGGGACATTAAACTTTCAAAAGAAGTGAAAACTGCATCCAAATAGCTCGTTGCTTTGATGAACGCGGCGCTAGATGGATATGTGGGAAATATATACGCACATGAACAGTTAGGGTTAACGTTATCATTTCACCAAGGAGAATGAAGCCGAGAATAAGTTACCTGTAAGTCTCCACACCACAAGTTGTTTTAGCTTTCCAAACGCCGTTGCAAGCATGTCTACAATTTCTCTAGGAAGGATAGAAGCCACATTTGATCCAAAGGAAACAATGATAAAACCATGTCCTTTTGAATTGCTAACAAATTCTTCTAGATCACGTGGTAGAGGTTTAACAGTATCTTTGACATTCAGGGGTCCAATCATATGGATTCCTGTTGAAGAAAACTACCCTATCTTAATGGTAAGCTATAAGGATTTTAGCCCCCCACGCAGGCGTTTTTAGGGGAGATCGTTTTTCATACCTTCCCACAAACGCCTGCTCAACCGAAAACAACATTCCTTTCCCATGCCTAGCCAATCACATTGTACTTTCCAAATTCTGGAAAGTTGACCTTGACCGAAAGGTAATCTGATAATAGACCTTTTTACCGATACGGCGGCCATATTGAGGGGCATGAGCACATTTCGTTTGTATTGTCAGGCGCTTTTCCGGACATTTTTTCGCAAAGTTTTCTTAGAATAAGATTGTAATGGGAAAAAAGATCCTTGTGGCGTGTTTGGATGTAATAATGATCGCCTTTTTCCCGAGAAATATACAGTGAAAGACCATATTTCTAATACTAAACTAGAAAAAGGCGATCAGTATTACATCCAAACACGGCACAAGGGTCTTTTTTCCCATTACAATCTTATTCTAAGAAAACTTTAAGAAAAAAGGTCCCGAAAAGCGCTCGAAAATACAAACGAAATGTGCTCATGCCCCCTGGGCATCCTATAATACTCCTTAAATCGAATTAATTCAATATGACCGCCGTATCGGTAGAAAGGTGTATTACTTGATCTGCAAGAAACACTGGGAAAGCTTTCTGACCTCTAATAAATGTTAGATTAAGAGCGGCAAAAATAAGATTTTGTCAAATTTTAGAATACTCCATGCACTGCATAACCTCAGCGAAGGAAATAAAAGAAGGAAAACGGTAACTCTAGGGTCACGTTTTAGTCGCGTTTAGCCTGTCAACACTTTATTGCACAACTGTTGATTGGTCACTTACCAAGCAAATAAAACAATGGGAAGGGAATGTTGTTGTCGGTTGAGGAGGCGCTTGTGGGAAGTGTTGAAAGACGAGCTCCCCTAAAAACGCGTGCGTGGGAGGCTATAAGGATTTCTGCTGTGGAACCTGTATTTACTTTTACACGTCACGTCAGAAACCGACTTTAAGGTTAAGTTTATGTTCATATCAAATGATATTCTTTGCAGAAATCTAGCTACAGTAATAGCAATCTGGCATATTCCTTTCCCAGCAATCGGTATCAACACGTTTTGTTATATGATAGACATTATTAATGCCTACCATTTTTAGGGAAAACCTGGTAATTCTGCTGAGAATTTAAATGGAAAAGTTCATCCCGATGGAACTTTTGCGGAGAAAAGGTAATACTACCAGAGGTATTACTTTTTCTCGCTTTTACCAAAACGACCAAAACCTTTCTGCACCATTTGCGTGGATTACCAGAGTACCATGCTTTCCTTCGAGAGAAAGCGAGAAATTTCCTGTTTTTGTGTTTTCGATGCGAAAGAATATACCACTATTATTTGTTAGAAATTTTTTACTTGATCATGAATGTCCGTACAAATGGTAACTAGCCTATATCAAACCTGGCAATAAAGGCTGAGGATACTCCAACGCAAAATCTCCTGCAATCAAAACCAGTTCAGCATCACCAACTGCTTCCTGGTAAGTTCTATCAGGTTTAATGTTGTACTTTACTTTGAGGCTATTCATCATACCACCGAACAAAATGTCAAACAAAGGCTTTTCACCAAGGTAGGAAGCCAAATTGATAAATCGTTGAATAAATGTCATTTTATCAGAAAATCCCAAATAGAGACGAGGAACGTACGAGACAGGCATGGGAATCATGTGGTCAAAACCTAACGGGGAGTTCAGTGCTGAGAGCAAAATTTGCACTCGCTGAATGCTAAGGAGTTCCCCAACCAGCACACCGCACATCGCTGTGGGACTGTCGTAAACAAGCAAGTCATAATCTTGCACTTTTTTCAGAAACTCCGTGCTGTTTAAAGCACCTTCGCATAAGGCCTTTTGGGAGTCCATTAACCTCACCATTCCCTGTTTCCAAAATCCCTCAATTACAAGCCGTATGTAATCGTCCATGTAGTCAGGTTTGAGAGGCACCTGGTAAATGTTGTGTTCTATCCCATCACCTTCCTTGATTTTTTCGGAGGATGGAACGAGTACTGATACCTATAAAATAAATAATATAAAATAAAATTATAAACCTCGGCTACGGATGGAAGAAATAAATAAAATGATGTAAACAAATTAATAAATAATGAAAAATAGATAAGACCACCTTGTCCTAACTAATCTCCATGCGTATTTAATTTCGCGAAAGTGTGAATAGGCCATTGGTCCATTTTACAGTTGTGTGCTTAGTGTCCTAGCCTTTGAGTGAACCTAAGTCTGAGGTTGACCTTGTTTTGATACAAACCTCCTACCTTCTCAAATGTAAATTTTGCTCCAAAATACTAATTAGCCTAAGAACAACTAAGCAGGAGGGGTGAATCAAAACAAGGTCAAGCCTCGTTTCCACCTGTAACTGTAAAATGGGCTATTCTTTGACAATCAATAGACACACAACAGAAAACAATTTCCAATTCCGGTTGGCTCAACCTTACTACCCTCCTCCCCCCAAAAATCGTGGGGGATCTTTTGGGTGTACACGGGCTGTCTATAACTGCATTATTTTTTTTGGGTCGACCCCAAAAGAATTTAGAAGGGTTTGTATGCAGTTTTCTAAGCATAACTGGGCTACTCAGACCGAGGGCACAGTTTCTCCCAATACGGACCGACCTAGGCCCGTGAATAACATTTTTATTTTTTTCCTACTGAAAAGTTTCAGGAAAATTTAACTTCAGCCTCCAACCTATGTGTGTTGAAGAAGGGCGCGTTCGTGTTGATGTTTATTCAAAGCGCGCGATCGATTGCAAACCAAAACAAAACATTACAACATGATTTTTAACTTGTAATTTATATTATCAAAATTAAGCTCTCTTTTAGAATAAAGAAAGGTTTTTGTGTCTTTTTAGACAATTCATAACCTGAGTGTCAAACAAGGATAAAAGAATTGACGAACTTAAAAGCCACAGGAAAGAAAATACATCAAAGATTTTCTTCGGCTGAATATTTACTTTAAGATTTATTCAATCGAGCGGGATAAAAACTGCACATAGGCTTTATAAAAAGAGCTAATTACACATACCAAACAAGTATATAAACAAAGAAATAAAAACGGCGATAACCAACTGCTGGAAAAGTTGTCCGTGTTGTTTATTCAAGATTGAAAGCTATATGCAATCGTCGACAACAACCTTTTCTGAAAAGTAGAAAACTACCGTGGCGAAATTCAATGAAAAACGGCAGAATCTAGATTCAGTCAGCAGAAAAGGAAAACAAACCTACAAACAGAGGAAAAACGTCGAATAAACGCTGCATAAGAGCAAGATTGCAGTACTTACAGCGTAGGTTATAAAACTAGTGAAGCGACATCACGAGCCGCCTGTTGTGCTTTACTTTAGCGGTTTTCCTAGCTGACTTGCTTGATTCTCCCTTCAGATGTTTTGTCTGAATGACAAAATCCACTTTTCCCTAGCTAACACTAATAATAGCGCACGTTTCAAAAGAAAAATGGTTAAAGATGACCGGTTTTGCTCATTCACAACAACAAACAAACTTGTGAATGAAGCTGCCAACGATTCCGCCCGGGTTAGCGGGCAAGATCGTAAAAAACTGCCCGCTCTCGGAACCAATCAGATTGCAGGATTTGAAGGATCCCGCCCGCTCGCAAGCTTAGAAAAAAATAAATCTATACAATTATTTACTTTAAAAGAAGAAAACATCATGATGAATAAAAATATTTCATTGTGTACATATTTGACACTGGGATTCTTGTTGTATGATTTATATTTTGACATTGCTTGGCTTTTTAGTCCTCACAATCATAAGATTGTGTATCTTGTGATGGCTGTTCTGTGTGTCCATAATTATTGTTTTTGCAGTGATTTCAATATCTTTCCCAGGCCTTTCAAACCTTCCATGTGCTCTCTGCATCCCTTCAAAGCCCCCTTTTTTTTGGAAACACAATTCCCTCCCTCTTTTGAGTTACAAAGTAAAACTTTGCATGTAGTAAAAATGGTGGTCTCCTCTGCTTTGTCCTTTCATATTACGCACTTCAAAGTGAGTGTAATTCAAAACTTCAACCTCTCAAACTTCCTTGTTTCCCTTTTAGCCTTAACCACCATTATTTTTACACTGACTTTTATGTTTTGCAGGAAAGTATTGTGCATGGTTTCTTTGAGGGCGGCAAATGATCAAGTATAGATCAACTTTTTATTTCTATCTTTGATTGATCCAGTTTACAAAATTTTGTTACATGTAAAGCCTCAATTCAACTCTTCACTGGTACAATATTTTTGGAGATTAAAATCACAGCTTTTTTTCTCCTGTCTAAAGACCATCTGTCTTTTTTTTTTCTCATGGTTCTTACTGAAATATATATAATATATATTGTTCTCTAAAATGTGAGCTTCAATATCCTGTTTACTTGGCAACTGCAGCTTTTTTGGTGATAATTTCTGCACTCCCATTTTCATTCTTTGTGGGTTTATATGTTGTGACTATTATTATATTTGGGGAGACCTTTGATGCCAGTTCCAGATCCTGTACAGAAATGCCACTCCCTTTTCCAATTTTATGTCTCTCATTTGGTGTACTTCTAAGTTATCCCTGTGCCAAACTGCTTGAATTGCATCACCCTGGTTTCCTCTTTAGCATGTTGATAAGATCTAAAAGGTTGATAACAACAATTCAAGTTGTTGATATAACAGGCAAGCCACACACTCTCACTTTTGCACCATATGCCACAATAAGTGATTTGTACTGGTTTTCATGCTGTGGAAAGCCTTTATTTAATTTTTTACTTTGGAAAAAATAAGAGGAACAGTTTTTATACATGTGCGATTGATGGAAGGTGTACAATGCTGTCTGAAGGGATGTGAAAATGAGGCAGGATCAAGAAAATTTGATAGTATGGTTGGGCGGTATGAACTGAAATGTGCCCCTGATGATGTTACACCTGAAAATCTCAAAGAGCTTAGGGTATGTGATAAACATTACAGCAGTTTATCACCAAGAGGGCATAAACCTCCTAAGGGGAAAAGCTCCACTAGATCAAGCAGCGATGCCCAGCTGGGCATCCTGAAAGTTACACCATGTATAGTGACTTGTTCACAATGCGGCAACAAGGTTTGCCTGACTAGTGATGTTCCCTGCAAGAAACACCACATAAATAATTCTAAAAATACGTTTTCAGTGGGATGCAATTTTTTGGATGAAAGAACTGGCAATAAGACTGATTTACATAATGACTTGTATAGTGTAGATCCTTGTGACGGAACTATTCCAGACTACATATGCATGTCATGTCAGCCTTTCTATTTAAAATGCATTAAAATAGAGCATGAGTACAAAGAAGCTCAAAACATCTTCCACCGAAAACAAGGTAGTTCAATTTCCACAATAACAACAGATAATGACAGCAACAAGCATGAGTTTTTTGAAGAAACAACTATTAATTTAACTAAAGGACAAGCCAATGTGTTATCAGAAAAAATGGTCTTGGATAGAGAATTTGCTGTGTCTGATGCTTTAAACTTGAAAGCAGGTATTTTTACAGATGTGTTGAATGAAATAATGATACAAACTGCTCCAAGAGAACCAGTCGATGCAGGAAATGACAATGAAGTACAGTCATCACCTCTGCCAGTTTATACAGTTTTTCAAACAGCTATTTCATGGCACACTACAGATAATACCATGAAGACTTTTTCTGTTCCAAATATCGGAAAAGGTGTTGTAATAACCAAGTGGAAGGAGTTAACCCTTTTTCTTCCTTCCGAAATAAAAACATTTTCTTCAAAGGATTTTAGTCCATTTAAAGTAGAATTCTTGGGTAACAAAATTGACCGTGGGGAACTCCCACACAATCTTTTTCAAGAAAACGTAGATTGTATTAAACTCTGCTTTGGGTGTCATGCTTAAAACTATTGAAAACTTAGCGGTTTGTCCAGGTATATATGATCCAGCCCTTGTCGATATGGCTGAAAGAAAAAGGGAAACAAATTTCTACTTTGGGGATGCAAAAGGAGCAAATGTAGATGGAGAGATTGTCAAGTGCATCAGGAGCTTAAATTGCACCTACAAACTACCTGTCCATTCAGAAACCAAATGCAACAAATGTCAAGATATTTTACGATCTTGCTTTCGTTGGAAAACAAAACCTTCATCTGAATCATTTGAGTCTAAAACAGCCTATGATTCACACACTAAACTCAGTACTCTTTCACGTGCTGAACTCATAGCCAAAGCAAAAAATCTACACAAAGTGGTTGCCCAAAGCCAAAAAAAGCAAAACGATATTACAGTTTGTACCTAAAAGAGAAACAGAAAATGTGAAAGCACCAAAAAATTTTTAACCCAAATCATCTGACCTTGCTAAACTAATGGATATTGCCATTGAAAATCATTGGCTTGTTGAAACTTCTGTTCTCTATGCTCTACTTACTGACACTTTAACCTCACTGAAGAAACAGGAGGACGAATTTGCAAAGCAAGGAAAACTTACCAAAAATAAACAAAAGTCCCACCCTAAAGGTATGAGATATAACCCTCTTGTGATAAAGTGGAGCTGCATGATAGCAAGCAAATGCCACAAAAAAGGCTAGGAGGTGGTCCGAAGCATTCTTCTAATTCTGTCCTGGGAAACCATCAAACAATATTGGCAGGCGACAAGTACAACAAGCCCAATCTCCCAGGATAATTTAACACTGGTTCAAGAAATGACCAGAAAGGGTTGTAAGAGTATTGGAGGTATTCACTGGGATGAAATGGCAATAAAGGAAGGGATTTTACTATGTAAACGGACGGGAGAATTGGTTGGATTTGAGGACTTAAATATCAGTCCTGAACTCACCATAGAACCTGAAAATCTTAATGATAATGAAGACGATGACAGTGACAGTTTCTCTGAGTCATCAGATTCCCAATTTTCTAGTGCATCTTAACAGGAATAATATTCCAGTTCTGAAGCTCCATTACTTGATGTTAAAGAATCTCAGTCATCAAAAAAAGCCAAACTTGTTTGTCAGTTCTTTTTTCATCATTAGAAGGGGACTTTTATTGGCCAGTTGCCTCCTTTCCCTAACACAAAATCAACCACAGAATTCTTTCTACCCTTGTTTGGCAAGTCTGTGAGACAATAGGCGGTCTTAAATTGAGAGTATGTTGAGCTATCAGAAACACCATAGACAACCTCTATTTTTTTCCCACTGTCTAATTATTAGACAGTGGGAAAAAAATAGAGGTTCTCTGTGGTGTTTCTGATAGCTCATCATACTCTCATGCTTTCTTTAGTAGGAGCGGGGCAAAGAATTGGGTGACTTACAATCCATTTAAGGACAACAAACCAATTTGGTGGCTTACTGATAACCCACATATGATTAAAAAACTAAGAAATTTTTTAGTTAATCCTGATGGTCAGGTTCAAGCACAGGGGAAAAAAGTAACAGTTAACCATTTGATACCTGTTGCTCAACGCCGTATGACAAAGTTGAACTGGAAACATAAAATTAACACCCTGAACAAAAATGAGTGTTAAGAGAGCTGTTACTGTGTGTTCTCTTGATGTGGCATTAGACATACAAAAGGGACCATTACCACCAGAAGATACAGTTGGAACCCGGGCATACCTAAGGAAATGCCACAAATTGTTTCAAATCTTTAACAACAATACAGAAGTTGATCCTGAAAGCTATAAACAATTGATATCTATTATGATGTGGTTTGACACCTGGTACAAGGAGTTGAAACAAAAACGTTTGCAATCAACCAACAGTTTAAAAGACCACTGGAAGCAATTTATACCAAGAATAACATATAAAGATCTCAAAAGAACTATTTGGGCTTTTCTGTTCGTTGTCCAGTATGTGCAGATGCACCATCCAGAAATACACATTATACATAAAACAATGTGTCAGGATGATGTGGAAAATTACTTTTCATTACAATGAGCCAGAATATCAGGGGGGAAACCAACCACACTACAATTTTTTGAGTCATCTGCCTCCCTAGAAACCGAACTTCTTCTGTCCTCAGAAATGAAAGACTTTCAAGGAAATTTTGGCTCTTATGACTTAACAGCTTTTCCCAACCTTGTTTCACTTCTATATCAAAACAAAAACCCTCATCTGGCGAAAACACAACAGTATTCAGTGAAAAAGAAGGTTGGGAATCATTTGCTGATAAGCTAGATTCTGACAGTGTCATTAATGACAGGTGGGAATTTGACGAAACCTTTCACAATGCTGCAGACAAGCAACAGCTGTCTAGACATGTAAAACAGACAGTAGAATACATCGATCTCTTCTGCCCAACCACACTTTTAAGAAATTCACAACCCACACTGACTGCCCTTCATGCCAGAGAATCATCCCCATGTTTTGTTATTTGCGAGAAAACTTGACTACTTCATAAGATCTTCTTTCTTTAGCGGCAACTGGTCCCCTACCTCGCTTCAGAAAGCAATAGAAAAATTGAAGGAGGAAAATGCCCTCTGTTTCTACTGGAAAGAGCTATTACAAAAATTAAACATTTCATCATTTCATCCTGTCAAGTTCTTTCTGCATGTGGACATTTGTTTGTAAATTCACAAAGAGAAGGTGTGTTACATATTTAGCAAAAGATGGGCTTGCACCCAGACATGAAGAGGATGAGTCTGCAATTAGACAAATGCTGAAAAAATTTCGAACAAACCTGGGCACAGGAAAGACATCATCCACAGCACAACCAACAGACACCTGTTTTCGTTGCCACAAGCTAGGTCACTGGGCAGCAGAGTGCCCTGAAGGACATGAACCAGAGTGGTTGGCACAACAGAAGTGCTTTTATTATGGACAGCAAGGCCACATACGATCAGCATGCCCCAATAAAAGTGACAAAACACAGCATTTGTCTAAAATCAAGCAAAACAAACCTCCAGCTATAAAGCACACATGGTACCCTGCTAGTACATCTCTGGCAAAGCTGTTAGGTACTTTAACATCTAAGAGTGTCAATGATCTTAAATGTTATCAACCCATTCCTACACCACCCCCTCGTGATGATGACCCTCAGTTCTACAGACAGAGGAGTGGTCAGTGGTTTAATTCTCCCAAAGGAAAAATTAATGGAAGCAAGGCTTCAACTGCCTTTGGATGGTATGGCAAAAAGGCAACGCTTGACTACTGGAATCAAATTTTAAGTGATTTGCATGGCTTGCCTACTAAATCAGATGAATCAAATCTTGCTATGTTGTGGAGATATCTTACCTTAACAAGACGCTACGGAGCGTACACTTCGGCGTCGTGGTTGTGGAACTAATTAATTGTAAATGCGGAGGAATAGTAAGAAATCAAATATGGTAAGAGTAAGGTGTTAATTTGTGAAATTATGGGATTTGTCAGGATATTCTGAAAAGAGCAACATCCAAGAGGCCTACTTGCCAAAAAATAGCATTTCGGGACAAATTGTCTCCAAGATATTAGCCATACAAATCCTTCTAAAAAAACAATTCTCTATTTTTCTTAGTCACATCAGGCTTTAAAAACAGCATAGCAGTCTCCTGTACTGATTAAAGATATGTAAGGCATGGGTAAGGAGTCAATTGCGTTAAGCATGGAATTGGCTAAAACTCAAAGTCACGAGTTCCAATGTTTTGAGGAAAATTATTCACTGGCTATCAGCACGCAGGGATGTCGGATTAACACAAGGAAGTTTAACACCAAAGGAACATAACCTTTACAGAGCTTTAAAACACAGCATCCGCCAACACAAACTTGACTTGAACTTTGAGTAAAACTAAACAACCTCTACCAGTAATAACAAACTCCCACTTGAACTTCAGATATCTTACGGCTTCCGCGAACTTGTAAACACAGAACCTGAAAATCGACCTTCGTCACACTTGACTAAACATAGCAGTCCAGCTCGTGGGAAAAAACTTAGTTCGTTAAAAGAACTCGCTTGGAACTTGAATACCGTTTGACATAAGGTTCTAGAAAATACCAAACAGGCGAATAGTAGTAGCTTTTCGACATATTTTATGATTTCAGTAACTGATGCAAATCTGCTGACTCAGGCTGAAATGTAAACATGCCCTAATTAATTATTCATAAATAATCCAAAAACGTAGAGAACGTTGGAGAAAGTCACGCAACGCATGAAAGAAATTTTACTACGTAACACTCAACAAAGACAAAATGTCTGTGCAGCATTTTGTAACTTTAAATTCATCATAAAACAGGTCGAACGGAGGGCTCACTCGTGAAATGTTTTTCAACACTCGAAGAGAAATTTCGTGTCGCTGCGCGGCCACGAAATATCCTCTATTTATTCCTCGAGTAATTAAAGACTAAACTCGAAGTGATCTCAAGATATCACGAAGTAGTCCGGTCTCATTTCGTGAAATAGTTGAAACAAGCCGAAAAGTCACGAACTTTCACGCCCAACCTTGTCCCGAAACTAGTGCACCATTTCATAACTATTTTTCATATCCAAACTACCTTGGGTCGCAGTAGCGCAATCGGCTAATCCCTCAACTTTGAGTCTCCTCTGATCTGACGGGTCACACAGGTGAGTCGGTTCAAACCCCGAGAAAGCAAAAATAATAATTCTTTCTTCCTCGAAAAAGTTAAAGAGTATATCAAAGAAATCAAAGTGATCTCGAGATATCTCGAACTAATTCGGCGTCAAATAGCCGAAGAGAACTGAAAACCCACAGACTTTGCTTGCCCAATCTTGTCCAAAAATTGCAACTTTGATACATTCCTGAGCGTCGCGAGTCCTTTACTTCGCGCTCCGCCGAAGTAAAAACTTCTTTCCGGAGGACAAAGATGGAGTGGTTATAAAAGAAAGCGGAATTTGGCTTTTGAAGGATGGAGACAACCAAGAATGGTTAGGATCCTCTCCAGATGGTATAATTGAATACAATGGAATTTTAAAAACTGTTATTGAAATAAAATGCCCTTTCATGGGAGGAAAACCTATTCCTTACAAAAATGTTTGCATTAATCATATACCCCAAATCATGTTGGAAATGTTTTGCACATCAACAAAACAATGTCACTATGTTGTCTGGACACCAATTGGCACTAAAGTCTTTCTCATAGAAAGGGATAATTCATACATAGAATTGCTTCTAAACTGCCTCTATAAATTTTAGGACCTTGCATCAAGAAAATTTGAGCCAGCATGGCATGAAGATGTCTTTGGGTTGAAGCAAAAGAGTAAGGAAATTGCTTTGACAAGCCCTTGCATATAATTCATTTCAAACTCACTAGTAACACCAGATGCTCTTTCTCATGACGACCTGAAGAAATTTGCACGTGTGCCTAATGACAATAATCAAAAACAAAAAACAAAAATACCTCGGAAATGACAGGGCTGTAAGGAAGATGATTGGAAGCAGGGTTTGCAAATTTTACTGATGAGTGGTGTCAGTGTGACTTCTGCTTCACAACTGTTGGAGATATTTGGAGTTCCAGCAGGTGCTCCCGTCATGTATACACTATCGTGAGGGATACACGAAGTGGCGGTCCGCTGACCTGGAAAGCTCAAATCCATGATGGCGGTCATCGAGTTAACTTTGACCGTAATTTACCCTCTTGCTGTTTTCTCGTGTAGTATAATTCTTTAATTTCGATGATTTATTTAAGGTCTAAAACGTTTACAATTAACGTAAATTATATTTGTTGCGAAAAAGGTAAGGACAAAACTGTATTTGTTACCGAAAATTTCTGGAGTCGAAGTGACTCCCTCCGTAACCTCAGTGGAGTCATCCGAACAATTTTGGCGTAAAATACGTCACATTTGGCATATATGCGAACCGTGGGAAGTGTAAACTTAATCCCTGTGAGGTACGGTTAAAGAGGACAAGTACGTGTAATGCCTTAGCTACATACCAGTCTTACAAGTATGGCTCTAATGGCATACATAACAGCTGCCATCAAGACACTTTTCTTGAAGTAGCCTATCATGCATTCAAGCATCAATTAAATTGTCCTCCAAACAGTAATCTAGGGGAAGGCCTCACACAACTGCTCAGTTCATTTGTGTTAAGGGAAAATAAAAAATTTCGCGACAGCAAAATGAACTTGTGGAGGCGGCTAAGGGACAATACTATTCATGGCTATACTTATTATGCCTATGGGAAAGAGGCTGCCCTTGATTCCATTATATAAAGGCTTACAGAAACAATGCCAAATCATCTAAAAGAAAGATTTGCATTTAAAACCAACTATGCTCAAGCTTATGCCAACGTGAATGGAAGTCACAATTCTTGCCGCAACTACACACATAGTGCTTTTCCAGTTAGTATCAATGATGTTTTAGATAATCACTTCCTCTTGAAATCCCAAGAATTTATCAATATTGTTAAAGTTATACAACATAAATTAACTTTAACCATTTTTGTAGGACTTTCAAAATCCTCTGTCCTGATGGACAATGAGTGTTGGCAATTAGTGCAAACTCTGATTGTGCCATCATTCCTCAGCGTGACACTTGTAATGCCCCCATACAACAATCAACCACTGTTGTAAACTCACCTGATATATTTTTGTGGGGTGCACACACAATCCTAGTAAAAAGCATAAAAAAATTATTCCAAGTTTACCAGTAGACAGCAAATGCAACACGGAAGTTAATCACTGCACATACCGAATTTCAGGAATTGTTTATCTGAAGTCCCATCACTACTTTTGTGAAGTGTATTCAACTCAGAGAAATAAAAGTGGCTGGTACGTGTATAATGGTTTGTGGAATAATGGCAAAGCAACTTTTGTTGGATCAAGGCCATTATTTCCAGAAAAGGAGAGTCTATACTTGCTGATGTTTGAAAAGATCAAATGTAACCATCATGCAAATAATGATGGTGTTTCAACAACATTTTATAGGCCAATTCATTCCAACAACAATGAAATCATGAAAGACATCATAAACAAACACAAAGTTCTGCTCTCATTACCTGACAACAAAGTTAAACTTGACAACATCAGAGCAATTCTCCATTATCATAACATCTCCACACCAACAAATATTAAACTGGCAGACCTAAAGGATCTCTTGCTACAGCACTGCAACAATACAGAGTCAGTGCCAATAACTTTTGTATCAGATTATAGCATGGAAAATTATGCTGAGGCTGAAGAGAGTGAACACTCTGTCACACATGAGCAAGACACATGTGTACTTGAAATAAAAAGCTTCAAACGAATTGATTTAACGCCTACTAAGCAAGGTTAAACACCTGAGAGGCACCCACCAAAAAATCAAAAAGTTGGAAGAACAGAAACAACTTCAGACATTAGAGGTGGCAAAAAAAAGTCAAAGTGTAAATCCGTTAAAGAGTTGATTAAGAGCATGACTACAGAAATTGACAGTGACAGTAGTGATGATGATCTTGCAAAAGCATTTCAACCATTAATTGATAATGAAATATGTTCTTTCTGACACTTGATGAACCCACAGAAAGTGAAAAACATGCAATGTCGACCAAATCTTACATTACTGATGCATTTGATTATTCGCATGAATTTCAAATGGTCAAAGCACTAGATCTTTGGGAATATAGGGAATTTGACAGATCTCTCATGCCAAAAGCTGGCAATAATCACGATCATCTTGAACAAGTAAGACGTTTTATTTTGAAAAATGGTTTTCAAGAATCAATAATTATATCAGTGATCTTACAACTGGAAAAGCCTATATCATTGAAGGAAACCATCGTCTTTGGGTGGCCATTCAGGAAGGTCTACCATTCATACCATGTCGTGTTATTCCTCACTGGCTGCCCCCCAACGGCTCTTACAAAAAGCTTGAAATTGATTTTTCCACTTTAAAATTTGGGGAAACAATACTTCCTGAACAATTGGGATTGACTGTTGCACAGATTGGTTTCAACAAGTGAATAAAACAATAACCTTCACAAAAGATGCATCAAATCTATTTCTGTTTGTATACATAAACTTGAACACTATCATAATTATAGTGTTCTTAATTAAAAATAATTAGTATTAATTTGTTGATTTTAATATTTTGTACTTTGACAACAGAGATTATTCCTTGCACCCCTGGTCAAAAATGTTTTAATGGAATATTGCAGTTAATATTGTAAAATGCAATTGCACATAGATTCTAGACTAGCAGGAGAGACTGTTGAAGTCTAACCGTTTGCAGCCGTTTCCTGAACATTAATTTTGGTGTGCGACAAACGCAGACTGCAGACTTGCAGACTGGCAGGTAAACAAGATAAACATTGTTGTGAAATGCTCTAACTGATTCTCTATCGCTAAACTTCAAGTCTAGTTTAGGGATAGGGAATCTGTTTGAGTATTTCACCGACAACGATGTTTATCTCGTTTACCTGCCAGTCTGCAAGTCTGCAGTCTGCGTTTGTCGCACACTGCATTAATTTTATAACCTGCACGTATTTCAGGAGCTATCTATTTGCCACTCAAAAAATTACGTTTTCCTGATGTTGATTCATGCACAAGATATGCTTGTTAGAAGTAAACGAGGAAATTTCAAAACTTACCACTGATCTTTATTTACTGACAACCTGTTGCAGCGGGTAGTGACTTGATGTAAGCAGATTACATATATGTCGTCTCCACATTTTTTCATTCCATCGACTTTAAAGGGATGGATGAGAAGAACTACGCACTTTGGCTCGCTGAAACTCAGCGTACATTAAGCTCAATGTATCATATACCAATCCTCCTATTCTGAGATCAGGATATTGCCACACCACCTCGCACGTTGCCCGAAAGCGATAAACGATCATACAAACTGTGCCAATTTATAGACACTTCGCGGTACCTTTCTTTGCCTCATGTGATGCTTTTGAAACTTTTTCCGACTGAACCTTATCGCGAATATTTCCATGTTATTTTTCAAATGGTCCGCGTTATTGAAGAAGGCAAAAGATGAATCCAAACATTCGGGAAATTGACATCCTTTGCAACGTATTACGAACAAGAAATATTTGCCCGCCATTTTGAAAATCACCGATGTATGACGTGACGTCACTAAAGTGGTGTCTTTTTGGTCTGTTTGAAAAATACGAATAATTGCAAGCATTGTGTGACATCTGCGAAACGGGTTATTGTTGTTCCATTGAAATATTTTGAATTTATAGACATGAACTGGTCTTCTAGTAGCTTTAAGACTTCGAACTTACATGCATTTCATTCCTGAATACATTCAGTGCCCGTGAAATTCAACGTTTAGACCGCACGGACGTGATCCATCATTGTATTACGAGCATATTTTTCTGTATAGACTACTAAAATATGTCGAGTCCAAAAGTTGTATTTTCATTTTATTATTATCCAGCTCGTTTTTCCGAATGAAACAATTATTTTTAGCGGATTGTGGGAACACAATTCTTAAACTTGAACATGACAAAAGAATAACGTTTCATAAAGGTAGAGACTGCTTTACCTGGTGGCCCCGAGAAGCCAATTCTTCCAATACATTTTTCATGGTAATGTAGTGCGATCCTCCAAAGGCTATGAAGCCAGCAATCCTCGCCGAGGAGACGGAGCTGACAATCAGTGACAGCACAATCAGTGCCCCCAACGCCATGTCTTACAATAATGGTCTTTAATATTTATCCTCTCTTGTCTTATTTACATTGTGCAAGACGCCTTGTCACGGATTTTCTTAAGATCACATGACCAGAAGATGACTAAAGTAAGGAATTGACTCATATCGAAAGAATTTCTTGACTTCACAAGTGTCCTCTGCAGCCAGCTTTGCAGGAGAGATGAGCTTTAAATAACACTAGTGTTAGACCTTTGAGCAAAATGAGGAAACCCATTTCCAATCCGTTTTAATCTTCGTTGTCTATCCGTTTCTTTTGAATCTTCTCTTGTGCGTGCAGCTTCGACTTTCTTAAAAATTGCGCATTGAACTATGACGAACTTTTTGTCATAAACCTTTTCGGTTTTCACGCGAGGGAAAGAACTAAACTTATCCCTCAGCAATATTAAATTCTCCGATTTTTAACGGTAGTAATTTTTTTTACGGAGTTTGCGCTTAAGTGGGTCCCACTTTCAAAGAAAATCTGTAATATTTTTTGACCGAAATTTCTGGTATCAACAGGTACTGATAGTAATAAGTATGCAAATACAATTCAAAGAAATGGTTGGAGCAGAAGTCCCTAACTAAAATTCGAAAAGGATGAGAATTGAATTAAAAATTGCTCCAAGCCTTGCTCTGAAGTCGAGTGATTTATTCTTCGACATTTTAGAAATATCCTTCCGCACTTGTGGCTCAAACCCCTGCTGCATATGTCACATGTATTGCAATGCATCTTCATCGCTTTATAAATGTCGTTGTTCGTTACTTCCAATTCAAGATGTACAAGAAGTTGCTAATATAAGCTAGGGTGATCCTCGATGTATACCAAGTCAATATGTGCACTATTGTGTGGATCTATTGGGTGAATTGTGCTGTGTAAGGGTTAGGGATCATTGTTGTGTTGTTGTGACGTTACTCGATCGAGACTTGGTATTCTCTTGGTATATAGGGTGTACCAGCTATGCGCTACCTTAAGTCAAGGCTGACGTAGAACTGTCGAACAACTAGTATTACGAGGGAATACTCTTAAAAAACTCTTCAAGGTGAAGGAATTTCATATCCTGCTTCATTCCGTATAATGCGGTAGCCCAGAAATTTTTCAGCAAAACGTACAATTAACAATTTTTGAATGAGGCTGAGTAAATGATTTGAAAATTATACAGATATCGAGAAGATTGCAGCGCTTTGCACTACTGAGGCGGATATTGCCTAGAAACGAGGTTGCTGGGGCATACCATGATATAATGCTTGCATCTTGCAAATTTGGTAAACGTAAGCTGTTTATAAAGTCTTAGCCGCGGGATTGGAGCCACACAGAAAAAGGCGATCTATTTTGAATGAATAATTAATGTATTTAAAAGAGTCAATTAAGGTACAGAGGGTATTCGAGAGGGTCCAAGATATATCAGCTACGAATAAGTTTCAGTAATACAGACTTACAGAAACAGTCAAAGCTAGTGTGCTTTACACAGAAGGTAACAAGGAACAAGGTCCAATTTGTCTACTTCTGAATAACCTAACTTAATTCTGTCTAAGTTAGAGTTCAAAAGTCCTTATTTTTAGTTGTAGGTACGAATAAGTTCTTGTAAAGCAAAGTTCACAATAACAAATTACAGACTGAGGCAGCTTATTCACTGTTTTCACTGTCACGCCATCAAAAACAAAAATCCAAACCATTCAAAATACACTCCTGAATCTGGGAAATAAAAGTTGATAAATATACGAGGTATTAGCAAAAAAAATGTTTTACCCAAACTTATAAAGCTTTGCATGAAGACGCTTTGTAGGTGTCTCATTGAGGGGCAGAAATATGGCCGCTGGAAACCAACAGAAACATCTGTCCTTAGGAGTTTTACAAAAGCGTGATTTCATTGCTTGAGAACATCCATCCCGGGTGTCCTGGGGTTGACCTTTCGTGCTTTTTTTCTCATTTTGACACGTGGACTGGAACATGTAGTTTGCTTGTGCGAGTCGCGTTTGTCTCAAGTGAACAATAGCCCTCGAGCAAATGTATTTCCAGCTGGGGTGGCTAACTTTGGTAAAGCTATGTATCAGTCCCTAGAAAGGTCAACTCAGGACACCCGCGATGGATTTTTTTTGTACAGTGCCCAGGCCTCATTTTCGTGGTCGCGCGTTGATCTGGCCCGGCTACTTCGGCGAGCATATTCTCGGCCTTTTTGGATTACATCCTTCGAGTTTGCCAAAGTCTGCGGTATTCTGGGAAAGCTTCATTGGTTTCTACATCTCCTGCTATCCTATTACTACGATTCTGGCATGTTTATTTTCTGTTGGAGTTCGAATTCCGTGAAAAGTTGTGTTGAATGAGAGCATGGCGGCGAAGATGGCCTCTCCTGTCTCCTACCTTGTATGTTATAATTGTATATAGAGTGAATTTGAACAAATTATCACGAAACTTCTTTGGAGCAATAAGGACAACAACAACTAACTGCAAGGTAAGTTTCATTGACTTATATTTAGTATTTCCTACAAATTTCAGGATCGTATTTTACGCCATACAAACACTGTAATTTTACTAAAACCGTACTGTGGTACTATCACAGAGCCTGGGTTACCTGTGTTAACACACATTATATAGTTACATATACTAAAAGGCTCGATTGACATCAACCGAAGTTGAAGCCTCTTTGATTTACTTCATTTCTTTTTCTTTTTGCTTCCTTCTCTCTTACAGTACATACGGTATAGGTACCTACATGTCAACCTCATCGTCACTACAATCACCGTAACAAGAGCAACAAGGAAAGTAATGACGTCAAGTAAATAGTACTGGTACCAAGAAATGTTAAACACTTGAGGTATAACACGTTTGGATCCGCCATGCCTCAGTACATGCTCTATCCAATCGCAAGCTTCTTGAAGAGGGGTGTGTGGACGGTCTTTCAACAGGCTGGATATATGCATCGCAGTTTGTCTAAATCTGAAAAGAGCAAGTTATCAGTAATTCAATTATGATATCAGTTAGCTTATAAGGCCAGCCCATAGAACCTCCCTTGATGTAACGGAGGATAAATGGATGATTTGAAGTACGACTCATCAAAAATATAGCGCATAAAAGATTGCAAAATATCTTATTGACTGCTTATTCTTTTACCTGTCTAATGTAATATAACCTGCTTAAGTGGTGAGTATCTTTTGCGTAACCTCACCTCGTCCGTTCTATTTTTCTATGGCGCTTTTGGCGAGAATGAGTGTAGACATCTTCAATAGTCAACAAAAAAATAAAAAAGGCAAGACCAAATATTGTGGAAGTGAAAGGAAAATATGAATAACAGTAAATTTGAAAACACCTCCAAGAAAACTTCAATCCAAAATTTACACATCAAGAATATTCTCGCTTTCCACATTTTAAATTTTTTGACACTTAAAAATATAATATTTATATGTCTTCTTATCGGTATCCAACTCTATAGAACCACCTTTGCGAAAAAGGCATTTAGTCAATGATCAGAAACAGAACCTATAATACCTTGGTTCACTTTCAACCAGCTCAATTGTTTTATACAGTTCCTCAGCGTTAGTACGGTCATGGTGCACTGCCAAACCAAAACCAAAATGTTCAACTTTTTTAGCATTAGTATGCTGCTCCGCAAACAGAGGGAAACAGACCAAGGGAACTCCATGATATGCAGATTCATAAAGACTATTGTGACCCACGTGAGACACAAACGCCTTAATGTCTTTGTGAGCCAGTAGATCATTCTGAGGTAACCAATCCATGACTTTGATGTTTTTTGCAAGGAAGGGAGGGATGTAACCTGCAAGCAAGAATTTTGTTTAATGACCTAAGAGAGCTAAGTGAATCCCATTTTTAGGAAAATATGGATTCTGTATCTTGACACCAAGAGTGATTGCCAGATGATACAAGTATATACGTTGCAGTAATTTTTTTTTATCTGAGGTAATTTTTATTTTTCCCTTGTTTCAACTTCATTAGCCTACATTACCATAATTTTTTGTTCAGTTTTGTTTTTGGGTACCTCCTTGCCGAATTTTCATGTTCTGGCTATATGGCTCCATCTGCAAACTAATCGCCTAAGTGCAAGTTTCTCTGCCAGATTTGGGATTTTGGACCGGTAAAGCATCATGAACCTCCCGACTTTCCTTAAGGTGAACCTTAGATCATGAAAAGACCCCATTCTTAGCCTGACAGTAAGAGAGACATAAGAAGGGGAGAATAATGGATTTTTTTCAACCTCCCACATTGATTTTTTTTCTCTTTCATAGAATCTGTTGAATATTGGAAAAAAGGAGAGGTCATAAACTATTTTTAAAGAATAATGGTACGTCCATTGGTGCCCTTTGGAGATAGAATACATGCAAAATAAGAATGTACGACATAAGCTGTTGGCGCAAATGTCCTTTGTATAACCAAAGAGAACGAACGAAGCATAAGATACCTTTAAGTCTCCACACCACAAGCTGTTTTAGTTTTCCAAAAGCTGTTGCAAGCATGTCTACTTTTTCTCGAGAAGGAAGAGAAGACACTTGTGATCCAAAGGAAACAATTATAAAACCATGTCCTCCTGAATTGCTTACAAATTCTTCCAGATCACGTGGTAGAGGTTTAATGGTATCCCTGACATTCAATGGTCCTACCATACGGTTACCTGATGAATAAATAACAATTATTCACCGAAGTGTAGGTGGCTAGTCGTGAATTTACCGACCTGCGAAGCTGTGAGGTAAATATCCACGAATAGCCACCGACACTGAGGTGAATAATTGTTTTAGTATATACTAAAACATGCAGTGAGATAATTGAGCTCAAAAATGACGATTTTTAACTCAAATACTATTGCCAACGATTACAATTTTGGCGCGTAATGACCGGGCGGCCGCGGCCGTCGCTTTTTCTTGCCGACAATTAAAACTTTTGAAGGCATTTGTTTAGCTCTTGCGGGGAAATTTCTTCAAAAGGAGTTGTGAATTCTTTTTGTATTTAAAATCATTGTGTAAAAAAAGATTGTTAAGTTTAGTTTTAAGCTTATTTATTAACAACTCAACTAAATAAAGTAAGCAAGACTTAAACTTAATTTGCATTTGTAAACAGAAAACTTTTTCACCGGTTTTATCGATAAATTCGTGTCAAAAAGACAAAGCTTTACCTGTTAAAACTTCCAATCCGATCTTCGTCACCTTCTTCGTGTATTTCGGAAACAGCTTGCTTGATTAAATGTGAAATTTCTTTTTTTGTTTACGGCAGCAAACCGGGAAGGCATTTTGTTCGCAACTTACGCGAGTTTGGCGTCGCTCGCTCGGAGGAACTGGAGGTGAATCAGTGAATAGTGCAGGATATTCACTGATTGAGTAGCCAATCAAGCGCGCGAAAAACACTATCCACTGTTTTAGTATATACTAAAATCCAATATTGTACTTAGATATCCCATCATAGTGATCTACAGTGCTACCGTGTGTGTGTGTGTGTGTGTGTGTTTTTTATCTTCAACCTTCCAGGATGATTTTTTTAAACAACAACAACAAAAAAAACTTCCAGGTAGGCAATTTTAAAAAAATCAACTGACTCATTCTTTCAGTTGTTCGTGCATCGAGCTCTGAGGCACTGGGAAAGTTTGGAGAGCCCTAAAGAAACTAGGGCTGCTTACGACAGAGCTTCTAACAACGTTTTTTCGGAGGGTACTTGGTGGAAAGTAGTTTCACAGCTACAAGGCAGCTACAACACTAAAATTTTCAGGTATTCAACAGCCAACACTATAAAAGTAGCTAAATAACTACGCATCTAATCTCAGGCCTCTCAGAACATTTAAAACACACAAACTAAGCTAAATGTCGCTAATTCATTTACTTGTTCTTTTATTGGTATAATATACATTATTACACATACCTGGTAACAGAGGTTGGGCATCCTCCAACGCAAAATCTGCTGCAATTAAAACCAGTTCAGCATCACCTATTGCTTCTTGGTAGCTTTTTCCGGGTTTAATTTTATACTTAGTCTTATGGTCATTCATAGCACTAGAGTAAACAAGATCTATCCAGAAAGTCTTGATAAGAAGATATGACAACAAATTGATAATTCTTTCCATAAATGTCATTTCATCAGTGAGCCCGCTAAAGAGACCCGGAACGTAGGAGACAGGCATAGGAATCATGTTATCAAAACCAAACGGGGAGTTTGGGTGGGCCTGAATTTGCACTCGCGGAATGCTAAGGAGTTCACTAACCAGGACGCCGCACATTCCCGCAGGACTATCGTAAAGAAGCAAGTCAAAATTTTTCACTTCTTTTAGCATCTCTGTGCTATTCAAAACACCTTCGCATAAGGCATTTTGAAACTCAACTAGCCGTGTATAGCCCTGCATACGGGATCCCTCCATCTCAAGCCGTATGTAATCGTCGAGATATTCCGGTTCGAGAGGTACTTGGTAAATCTTGTGTTGCACCTTCTCATTTGGTTTAATTTTCTCGGACGATGGAACAAGCAATGATACCTAAAAAAATATATAGAACTTTAATTCCCTATCCTAACTTATTTTCACACTAACTTTAGATAATGATAATGATAATCTATGATGACCAGGAGCCCATGACTCTGAGCCTCTATCTCCACTGATTTTTTGAGTCAACCCTTTCCCGAGTTGATTTATAAATAGAACGGCTTGCTTCCCGCGAAAAGTGTCACATTTCCGTAAGTCTCGTATGTCACCGTTAAAAAAATAAAGTTGGATGAAGGCTAAATCAGAAGCCTGTCCTTCGTCCGTTATCCTTTTTACTATACGTCTATTTTCCCGATTTTACAGCCGCTGGGATCTGGGTATCACGAAATTAAAGTTAATGAATTAGCAGACTGAGCATCAAACAATGGGACGAGAGGAGCGAACTGAACTTATCACTGAAAGATTATCTTTGCGAGTGGTTTTGATTTTAGTCGTCATACATTCCCCATGTAAGCATGCACTTCGGAAAGAGTTGGCGATGAAACGTTCTGTGGACGATTTGGAACTTTCCGTTGGTCAGCGCAGAAAAAGTGCCAGGATCACTCACATTGGATTTTTGTCATCACCGTGGAGTGGATTTCGCCAGCTGAAGCACCGCGTGCAAAAGCGATGACCATAGAAGCAACTAACGAGGAATGCTTTAGTTCCGAAATTGCAGTCTTCCTTCACAACTTGTATTACCATGAGTGTTGCCTGATAAAAACTAGCACTTGAAAAGTTGAACAGAACAGAACAGTTGCTCGACTGTAAAGCTAAGTAATCTTCATGACATCGCGCTCCAGTCCAAAGACCACTTATCTCAAGAAAAACAAAATGGACTGTGCGTTTACTGAAGAATTATGACTGAATAACAGGACAGTTCTCAGCAGTTAGTGTAACTCCAGTCTAAGCTACAATTCTTTGCTTTAAATTCACATCTGTAGATCACTTTTCTTGAGGGCCCGGCGTTACAAAACATAGCAGGGAGTCATCACATTGAGAGACGAAACATCCACTAGTATTTATTCAGAAAAAGCCTTAAGAAACTAAAACCTTGATTAATATGGGGGGTCATTTAACCGAAATAAGAAAATTAAGGTTTAAAAAAATTGGCTGAAGAAAACCGATGCTAAAACGGTTCCCAGAGGAGTCTCCTCATGTGGACAGTGGAAAGAGCCAAGCACAACGACGTAATGACAGAGCTATTGTTCTTAATCTAACAGCAGGAAATAGAGTGCTAACAGGCCAACAGCAGGAAATTCAGCTAAAATTGGCTGAAGAAAACCGATGCTAAAATCGAATCCTGTCAGAACTACAGAGAATAAACTGCTGAAAATAAGCAATCAATATGCAAGGAACAGACCAGCTTCATGGCCTCTTAATGTGAGACAAGCAGCCAAAATTGAGATTTACTCGGTCAGAGTTTAAATTTTTCCACAGGATAATCTACCTGCCAGAAAGAAAAGATAGAAACTCTCTTAGGGATGTTCTGGAGCAAAACGATAAAGTCACGATTCACTAGCTTATGGTTGGGTTTGGCTCTATTTCCTGCTGTTAGATTAAGAACAATAGCTCTGTCATTACGTCGTTGTGCTTGGCTCTTTCCACTGTCCACATGAGGAGACTCCTCTGGGAACCGTTCTAATTGTAAATCTACTCGGGAAAGGGTTAACTCTAAGGCCTGTATGGGAGATATAGGCTTCCGGTGACACGCTCCTGTGATAATGATAATGATGATGATGATAATTAAGCACTATATAACATTAAGAGTTATATCAATTACAAAAAATATAATCACTGTGTCAATAACGATTTCCCAAAATTCATTCCTTGCAGCTCAGATGCGATCAATAACTCTTGCAGGCGGTCCAGAGTTTTAAGTTGTCATTACAAAAGAGAATCAATCGTTTCTGATATTAAAAAGAAACAAATTAAAAAAGAATAAAGTCTCGTATTCCTGAATTCCTAATTCTTTAAAAAAAGTTCTTTAAAAAACAAAAAAAAATTAATTAATTCGGGCAGGCTCTAATATTTTCGATCCGTAGATCTGAGCCAACAAAGTCTAGCTGTCGTCTTCTGGATCTTGAGCCTCTCAAGCATAGTATCGCAGAGCGTACGATGGCGAAATATACTTTAGCTCTTATCCAGGAAATTGCGCTTGAGTAACTTTCTCCCTTCTTATTTGCGATCAGCTCCGCAAGTCTTCTGTGGTGCTGCTGCTGCTGCTGCTAATGATAATAATAATGATAATAATGGTAATAATACTAATATTAATATTAATATTAATAATAGCGAGGCTCTCGCGTGCGAAGCGCGCGCAGCGGAGCACCTCCGGTAAGAAAATTTGGTAGCCTATGCATCCGACAGATTTTGGTAGTCAAGTAACCGTATGTCCGCCCGACCGCCAGTCCGTCCTCACCACAGGCACACCATTATTAAACAACTCAATCTGGTATGGCAACCCAAATGCAACTCAAGGTTTTATTTGGAAGGAAATCGCATGGCCGATCGGACTGAAGAGAAAAAAGAAAAACAACAAAAACAACTGAAGTCATGTCTTTTTCAACGTTATTTTTGATGTTCACACTCACGTTGATAACAGAGCAAGAGCGAGTGATTGAAAACAAAGGAGACGAATTTCGTTCTAAGAAAAAAAATGAAAGTTTCACAGCGGGGGTGAGAAAATGAGAAATGCTAGCGGCCAGCAAGGTGAAAATGGGCGGCATTGAAAAAAATAAAACGGAACATGAAACAAACAACAAACTCTTTGGTAAGCACATACGACAATTCCTTCATAAAAATAATGTGTACACAGTAATTTTCAATTTTCAGAGTTTCAACTCCTCTAGTGGGGTTAATTTAACTCTTAACAGTGGAGTTATTTTTTGGGGAGTTATTTTAACTCCAAAAAGGAGTTTAAAAAACTCTTTTTCAGGAGTAAAGATGACCCCAGATATTGAGGAGTTAAAATAACCCAAAAAAGGAGTTATCCTGTACCTAAAATTTTTACTCCACTTTCAGAGTTAAAGTAACTCCAAAAAGAGTAAAAAAGACCCATGTAAGGAGTGAAAATAACCCCATTTTCGGAGTTATTTTAACTCCAGACTGGGAGTAAAAAGAACTCTTTTTCACGAGTAAAAATGACTCCAAATTTGGAGTTAAATTAGGAGTTAAAGTAACGCCGTAAAATGGGTTATCCTTTACCTAAAACTTTTACTCAATTTTTGGAGTTATAATAACTCCTTAAAAATTACTGTGTAACTAGCAAGTTTGCCGTTACGTACGTACGTAACGTATATACGTACAAAACGTCATTGTAGTCGTGCAAAACAACGGCAAAGAAAGACAAAAAAGCGTGCTGCACGTGCTAATTTGTTTTCTTGCTAATTAGAAAAAAAAAGTGTGCTGATTTGTTATTTTTGCTTATTAGATCTATTGATTTGATGCCTTTTTTATTGCCGTCCCCGTTTAGCATTCGTGATTTAATTTTCCCTCCCTTTTCGCGCCCTATTTTTTCCCTCGTCAATTTTTCGCAGGCGCCCTAATTTTTTGCCCGCTCCCCACCATCGTAACGCCTGGAACAGGCTATTGGTTATAAGTATTATTGAGCAGATTGTCTGTGTCTGAACCCACTAGCGTCGCTTCTGTGGGCAACGGAGGGATATCGGTTATCCAAGCGTATCGAAGTTAAAGTCACCGATCTCTTGTATATCGACGACCTGAAGGTTTTTGCTGCCTCCGAGGGCAAGCTGAACCGAGTGCTGAAGGAAACTATAGGGGCGATGCAGGATATCAGCCTCCACTGGAATCAGAAAAAGTGCTCAGTGGTACACGTGAAGACGGGAGCCCAAGTGCTAGACGAGTCTGGTATGAGGATGGACGAGACAACCACCATCATGGCTCTTGGGGAAGGAAAACACTACAAATTCCTGAGGTGCTAGAGAACGTTTCAAAGGATGAACGGCTGGCCCTGGCGCGTGCGGCTAAAGAATATTTATGCAGGATATCTACTTTATGCTCCAACCCCCTGTCTGACTGTAACCGTGTACGGGCAACTAATCTGTATCCACGCGCGGTGCTACGCCACTTAATGTGGACACAGCATTGGACTCTTACAGAGTTGGAGAAGTGGACAGAGCAGCTCGGAAGATCATAGTTGAGAACAGTGGGAAGCATCCAGCTAGCCTAACTTCTTTGTTGTATCTACCGAGGCAGGAAGGGGAGAGACCTGCGATCAGTCGAACACGAGTACAAGCTCACTAAAATCAAATCGCTTCTAAAATTGTATCAGAATTCGGACCAGACTTTAGAAGCAGTCAGAGAATTTGAAGAACACTCCATGGCATCAGGCCACCAGTCGCTTGTGAAGGAAGTAGCTACGTACGCTGAAGAACTGAACATCACACTTCAGCTAGATATCCTAAATCCCGTGTGTGTTACAACGGGAGGAAAGGTGGTGACTGCAGCAAGATCTGGAAATCTGTTGAAGAAATCTCAAGGGATGCAGTTCTTGGAGATCGCTGAAAACGAAAAGTGGCAAGAAAAGTTATTCCATATCAGATGAAAAAAAAGAGAGCATAAGCATAACCAGCTGCTTTGCATGGTTAAAAGGTTGGGCTACAAGCCCTACATACACCATCGTGAGCATGTATGAACTGTATGAGCAGTTGTTACCTACGAAGTTCTACACAAAGGAGAAGACGCAAACCTCCACTGACGGCGAAGTCCATGCAGGTTATGTAGGAAGGTAGCCGAGAACATTGCACATGTACTGGCTGGATGTTCCTCCCTGGCGCAAACCAAGTACCTACATTTATAAAGCCATAATGCAGCTTTGAAGATTCTGTTTTTTGAGCTCATGCGAGAGCATGGGGGAAGAGGTTTCACCATGGTACTCACCTGATGCAAAAGTCGGTCGTCTCAAACACTTTTAACATTACCAGAACATTTGAGATAAATGCTTAGTTAGGGCGCTAAGGACACCAGATTTTAAGTTTTTTTTTTCTCCAGTTTACGTAGATTTTATAGAGTATAAGAGTTTGATATTATTCTAAAGAGGCTTCTAGTAGAGATAATTATATCATCATGTCTTTGCGTAGGTTTTGCAGAGTATAAGAATCTAATACTATTGTTAATTGTCTTTTTTAAGTAGCGAGAATCATATCATTAGGTACATTAGGGTTGTATTAGGTTTCCTTACCGAACTTTTTCTACTTGTAAGTATAGCTTCTCAAGTGGTTTAGGTTACGTTATGCGCCCTATACTACTTATAATATAGTGTGGACAGCATTCCAAAGTTCTATATTGCGAGCTGCTGCTGCTGCTGCTGCTGCTGCTGCTGCTGCTGCTGCTGCTGCTACTACTACTACTACTACTAATGATAATGATAATGATAATGATAATGATAATGATAATGATAATGATAATGATAATGATAATGATAATGATAATGATAATGATAATGATAATGATAATGCAATAACAATGACATGGTTCCCCATTCCTGGGGGCTCCAGTTTGAAGATGTTTCGTCTTGCTGATAACATCACCGACCTTGGGTCAACTCGCAGTCCCATGGGGAAGTCCAACATGTATGCGGAAAATCAACACCTGGGCTCTATCTCTATCAAAAGGCATTTTTTAAGGGGACTCCTTTTCGCCAGTTCTTTTTGTTATTACCTTAATACCGATATCGATGGTGTTGCAACAAGCATTGTGTATTGTTTGGAAAAAAAGTTAAGAGCCCTGGAGCAAACCAAGTGCTATTTATTAATGATCTAAAATTCCTTGCAAAGAACGAGTCGCAAATTGACTATTTGGGCAGACTGTATGCCTTTGTTGCAAAAACATCGGTATGGAATTTGGTATTGCAAACTGTGCTGTGTTGACATTAGAGGAAAGAGAACAGAAAATTGAGGGATAAATCTTCCAATAAGGGATCGTCCATAAGTGATCCAGAAAAGAGTGGATAAAACTATCCGGGAGTACTTGAACTAGACTCTACCCTCGACAGAAAAATGAAGGAGGTTGAGAAAGATTCGTACATGAGCGGACTTAAGTTACTCTTGAAGTCTAAGCTCAGCTGTGGTAATTTGATCATGGCGATAAACACGTGGGCTGTAGCAGCGATAAGATATAGTGCAGGGGTTTTGGGTGGACCAATGTAAAGCTTGAGGAGATGGACAGGAATATTAGTAACCTGCGTAGCTTGCGGGATGTAATATTTTCGTTGCGGACCCGCGTGAAGATTGCGAGCAAGTCGAATTGAAACCTTTCCTTCGCGGTTTCACCGTTCTAGGCTAGAATACCAGGCAACGTTTGAGAGGTGTGGTCCATCCTAAAGCTAACGTGTTGCGTTTTTACACGTCCCGAAAGTTAGGGGGCGGAGTCTGATTGGGGTAGAAGAGGTTTGCCAGTGAGGGTAGGTTGTTGGACCTATATGCTGCAAGAAGTGAAGCATATAGGAGTATAGGAGAAAGATAGGAGAAAGATTTGTGTGGGAAAGGTTACCTTAAGGGAAGTGATACCAGTGCATGGACCGTCTGAAAAGGATACCGAAACCTTGAAGAAAGAGGAATCGTGGGACTGGTTATCAAAGGGTAACTTGAAGAGCGGAACAGAGAGTTTATTGATAGGCGCTCAGGACCAAGCCTTAAACAGGAACTCTGTCCGAAAGAACATCTATCATCAAGTAGATTCGGACAGGTGTGGATTATGTGGCGAGACAGTAGCGAATGTAACCCACATCGTGAGTGGCTGCAAGATGCCAGCAGAAAAAGATTACAAGTGGCGTTACAATAAAGTATGCTTCCATCTTCACTGGTGTCTCAGCAAGAAGTATATCACCGTAAGCCGGAGAAGGTGGTAGAGGACGATGTGATGAACATCTTATGGGATTATAACATCCAAACCGACTGGATATTGAACATCGCAAACAGTAACTGTTCTATTTCTGAGCCGGCAGTGAGGACTCTTAATTATTTCACTGTTGTTTTCTTCTTTCTGTAATCAATGTCTTAGTTATTAGACTCATAATCTGCAACGAGTTTTTCGCCCCGTGGGGTAGTCCCTTATATAGGCTATATAGGTATGTGCCGCGCCCAGACGACGATCGAATAGTATTCCATGATGCATTTTTTCAGAAGTATCACGCAATATCGCAGTCATGGCAGATTCCATCGTGAAATAAGATGGTTTTGTCGTCGGCTTTTTTCTCATTCGATTTCCAGTAAAAGTAAGAAAATTGCATTATTTCGTTATTTGACATGATTTCTCCGATTTGCAATGCCTTAAGAGCGAAATTTCCACATAGAAACATTTATTTTCATAGTTTCAATTAGTCTTCCCATCACAAAGTGTTCAGTGACCCACAACAAGGTCATGAATATTCAAACATTTTGGGAATATATCTTGAAATCTTCCAAACGTGGACCTCACGCCAGAAAAATGAAGTCCTGAATATTGTGCAGGCTAAGAAGTACCCAGAAGTACCCACATTTTGAAGACTTTTTCATCGACCAAAGACGGCTGAAATTTCGAATCTTTTATCACATTTCAGCGCCATGTGTGATAATATCACAGGTAACCCAGGCTCTTTGATAGTACCACAGTACGGTTCCACTAAAATTACGGTGTTTGTATTGGGTAAAAATACCATCCTAAAATTTCAAGGAAATACTAAATAAAGATCAATGAAACTTAAGCCCCATTTACACGGCCGAAAATTTTTGGCACGGCTCGGATGAAAAAAGCACGCGTACCAAAAAAATTGGTTCGGCACGGATAGATTTAGTCGTGTAAACGACTTTGCCCCATCCGTGCCGGACCAAAATTTCACCCGTGCTCGGACCATGTCGAGAGGTAGTCCGGGCACGGATAAAACTGGTACGCGATCCTGAAAATCTAGCCCAGCTCGGATAAGGTGTGCAGTGTAAACGATTAGCCGTGCCGAACCAACTTTTCCCTGATGAGCCTTCGCGCCTTTGGTCAGCACCGATTTGGGAGAGCATGTGGAAATCGACCCACCATTCACTCAGCAAAAGTCGCCAGGAAAATCTCGCGGGATAGCGTGGAAGGACAAAGATGTAGAGGGGTTAATAGAACTGATGAAAGAAGAAACAATTATGTTCAGTTTAGAAAACGCTAAAACGCCGAAGGAAAAACGGGCTGTTTACAAAAGTGTTCAAGTGCAACTGCAAAACAAAGGTAACGTTCAGCGTGTGGCAAATATTGCACACTGAAACTAGTATTCACTTTACACGTTCGATGTAGCCGCTGGTTTAATCTTACGGACAGAATGAATAATTTGATGTTTGCTTGCCTTTTTTGTGGAAAAAAAGTGTTAATACTATTGCATGATAACCGGCGTATTTGTTTTGTTTTTGTATCTGTTGAGAAAATTCGCTTTTTTTATATAGGGATACATTTTCAATTAGAAAGTATCATTAACAAGTGGAAAAAGCTGAAACAGCAATATAAGCAACATCATGATAAACAAAAACGAAAGGGGGACTGAACGTCGGAAGAAATGGAAATTCTTTGATGACATGGATCAAATATGTGTTCACAGGGATACATCTTCGCCCGCATGTCTTATTGATTCAGTTCTAGCTGATGAAGGTGCAGGTAAAGTATTTCTTATGTCTATCTGGTGGGGAAAGGCTTACATGGTATATGTAAATATCAGGATAATGACCTCCATTATGCTAAGCTTAGCCGTTTGAGTGACTCCATTTGAAGCTTTTACATTTTTATGTAAGCTTATGTATACCTTTTATTTTTTTTGTGCAACTGAACATTGCATGGAAGTCTGTACTTTAAAAATTATTATTATTACTATTGTTAATATTAATAGAAACGATACTTCAAGACTGTCATACTGGCAACAGTGGCGGCATATTATCTTCCTGTCTCAAAAAAAGGTTAGCACGTGGAACTGAGGGAGAGCAGAAAATTCATATTGTATTTATCCCGTTTTCAACGTTAGGGTAATATTATTTCTTTTCCTCTGTTCAGATTTGGAAAGTGAAACAGGTGATGATAGCAAAATTGGCTCTGATGATGAAATCGCAAGTGTGCATGATGAAGAGCAAAGCAAAGATACAAATGACGTGTCCACAGAGGGATGCAGTGAACTTGCTAAACGCAAACTGGAGCTAGAAGAGGAAGAATTAAAACCCCATGTCAAGAAAAGCAAGGTTTCCAAAAAAGAAAGGAAGACCAAGCTTGAGAAATCTATTGCAGTGTTAAGTGACAGCTTTACGGATGCTGCTGAACGGGAAATGGATATGCTGATGAAGCTTGAACAGATGCGACACAAAGAAATGTTGGAACATGAGATACGGTTGAAGGAACTGGATAATGAACGTCGCAGAGAGGAACGACAACATGAACTGATGTTGCTAAATCTTTTAAATAACAATAGAAATCCATATCCACCCCAAATGATGGATTTCTATAAAGGGAACAACTCCGGCCCCAGTGGCAGTGAAAGCAGTTATTTTGAGCTTTAAAACCCAAGTTCTCAAAGGTAGCATGTTGTGGCCTGTAGAAAGATTTTTCCTCTTAAAACAAGTTGTTGTTTCCTGGTCAGCTAAGAATATGAATCAGTGGTATTGATAAATCCATTGAACTGTTAAAGAACGTTGTTTTAATTATAAGCTGTGACAAAGCTGATATAATGTCCTAGTTACACTGATTATCTTTTTAAGGAATCAATTTTGTATAACAAAAATGTTGAACAGAAAGACAGTGACAAATATGAAAGCTTGCATGTTGCTTATAAAGTTATATCATGATCAAATATTTTTCCCGGCAAAATATTTCAAATAAAGTTGCTATTATAACTATAATTGAACCACAGTGTTTTAACTGGCTACTACAAATGTGCTACTGTCCTTTATATACCGTTTTAATTTCAAATACAGATTGATCCAACTCAAAAAAGGAATTATTCCACAGCTAATCGAAGGGAAACCTTGCACACAAAAGAACTATTCTTTTTCGAACGTGAAATAAATATATAAATATTACAAGAGGTTCACTGACACAGCTTCTCATTTAGAAATGTAGATTGACTACAGCAGTGTAAGTTCAAGATCCATTTGTAAACACCCTTTAGGAAAGAGAAGGTTCTTAATAGTCCATTCACCATTTTCACTTAGACCACAATGCATCTTGTTGCTCCCCCCCCCCTCCCCTCGCCCCCAATTTTTCCATAACCATTGTTTCCAATTTCTTCTGGGTATTACAGTCGTCCCAAGAGAAATCGAACACAATGGTTAGGCAAAATCTGTGGGGGGGCGGGGGGTAAATAAGGTGCATTATGGCCTACGTGAAAATGGTGAATGAGGAAAAAATTGAATTTGTTCACTGCCACTATCAAGTGTCCGGCCCTCAGGTGTCGTGAAAAATACTGCAAGAGCATCTCGAATGTTGGAGGCATCTCTTTCCCTCTGATTTGCCAATGGGATGTTGTCAGGCTATTCAACAGCATTATGCACATCCTCAAGCCATTCTTCTAAAAAGTCATCCTTCCTTAATTCACAGATGTTATGAAGTATACATGAAGCAGCCACCAAGTAGCATGCTGACCTAACAGCCGTATCTATACGCTTAAGAACACGTCGGAAACGTCCCTTCCATCTACCTAAGGTGTCTTCCGCAGTCATACGTGCTCTGCTGAGCCGGTAATTGAAATTCCGTTGCCAGTTGGGTGTGTTTTGGTTTTCTGGATAAGCTTTTATTAGCCAGTCCAAGAGAGGGTAGGCTGGGTCCCCAAGAATCAAAGGGCCCATATCAACGCCGATTATTGATTCTTTCATGCTGGGATCAAAACGTTGCCCATTGCATCCACGATTATAAAGCTCTGAGTTGACAGCACTCGGGCATCGTGGACACTGCCTGGCCAACCAATGACGACATCGCGAAATAAATACTTTGAATCTACCAGTGCCTGCATCACTATACTGTGATAAGATTTCCTGTTTATGTAATCAGTGCGGTTTTCCAGGGAAGCTTGTATGGAATATGGGTACCATCGATAGCACCTGCACATGATGGAAATCCCCATTTCTCTTTGTACAGCCTCATGACTTCCCTCAAGTCTTCCCCTTTAGGTACTTTTAGGAAATCGTTTTTCAACTTTTTTGTTATAGCTTTACAAACATCTCTTATACAAAGACAAACGAAGTACGTGGAGACACCGAATAAGTTAGCTATTGTTCTGTATTCCGCAGTGGAACTCATGTAATAGAGGGTTATTGCTGTCCTCTTCCTCGGAGAGACGGCTTTAGGCATTGGAGTGTCCTTTCGAACAATTTCGTCCTGAATCTCTCTAACAATGTAGTCGAACGTTGACCTTGAAACGCGGAAGTTGTCATACCACTCTGTTTCTGTAACAGCTGTCTGCACTATCTCAAACCATTGACCACTTCGTGTCAGTGTCCAAAACCGTCGCTCAATAGAAGTACAAGCGAGAACTGATAAAACAATTAACAACCTGTACCTCCGCCTTTTTCTATTCTTCTGTACAGCAGTCGAGAGAAAGGTCGATTTCCGTATTTTCTGCTGGAACACATGCGGTCTTCTTATGAGAAGAGATTCTAAGAACTTTTCGTCCGCCATGTTAGCAGCATACGCACTAGGCAAGAATCGAGGACGCTGGCCGAGATGTTGAGCCTTTTACCCGTACCAAAACATAATTTTACATCGTTTAGCACGGTAGAAGAAAGGACGTGTAAATGACTTATCAGTACTATTTTTTTGGGTACGCGTACCACTTTTATCCGAGCCGTGCCTAAAATTTTCTGCCGTGTAAATGGGGCTTTACTCTGTAGTTAATTATTGTTGTCCTTATTGCTCCAACGAAGTTTCGTGATAATTTGCAGTAATTTGTTCAAATTCACTCTATATGCAGTAATAATATACAAGGTAGGGGAAACGAGATGCCATTTTCGCCGACATGCTCTCATTCAACACAACTTTTTCCACGAAATTCGAACTCCAACGGAAAATAAACATGCCAGGATCGTAGAAATAGGATAGCAGCAGAAATAAAAACCAATGAAGCTTTCCCAGGTAGAGAAACGAATCCCACAGACGTTGACAAACGTGAAGGATATAATCCAAACAGACCGAGAATATGCTCGCCGAAGCAGCCGGGCCAGATCAACGCGCGGCCAAAATGGTGTGTTTCAGTGTGATAGGAACCCAAAGCAGCATACAAGCCGGCACAACGTAAACAAGCCTGCTCAGAATTTGAAAAAGAAACATCAGAAACTTTATTTATTCAAAAGAACAAATCAGTATTCTGGCCAGGAAATTTCCTTGAAGATTGCTTGAGTCAATACCGGGTAGATTGTGCATCAGAGAATTGTTTGTCGCATCGATTTGTAACTGCCGTTGAAAACTGAGCGCGTGTGAGCGCGATGCTGTAATAAATCCTCCTTTGGTAATTAGCTTCACAGCGTAGCGACTGTTTTGTTGGAACCACTTTTTAGATCAGTCATGGTTTTGGTTCTCCTCAGGCCTGGGTTCTCCTAGTGAACCCAGCGAAGCTTATCAGTTGCCGAGTCTTATACTTGGTGTTTACAGTGCGGCCGAGCACACAAGCGGTAGTTCTCGACAGATCAGTGAAACACATGTAAAACCCTTTCTTAGTCAAAGTAACGCTGAAATTCTCCTTTAAAGCATAGCGAATACAAGCCAACTCGATAATCTCTAAAGCAGAAGCTGCTGAACCGACACATGTTTGGAACCATCCACATCGAGCACTGCGATCAGTGGGGGCTGGCAGCGAGGTCTGGAACCGAGTTTACATGATCGCCCCAGTTAAGAAATTCGGCCGAGTGAGACTGAGTACAAATTTTCCTTAAAAACAAATATGGCGGAGAATGCAGACAGGGAAGGACGATGAGTTTTTGCTCGGTTTTAAGCTTTCCCGCGTAGAAATATCAAGAAAAGCTTTCTATGAACTTTTTTAATGGACCTTTTGGACATCAGAAGGCGTGATCTATGAACAGTTCATGGCTGACTTCACTTATCTTTATTCGGGATCTCGGCAAGTTCAGTTATTATTATTTAAGTAATGGTCCGTGTAAGAACTAGGCAGAAGAACAATAGGCCAGTGCAATAGCGGCAGTTATTTTTTAGGTGCTAATTTCTCTAATCAAATTAAATTTGAATGCTCTGATTGGTCAATAGGGCGAAAAGCGCGAAATTTGAATTTTAGAAATGAATTAAGATAGCAAAAGAGTCATTCAAACAATTTTTTATTTTGTCTACTGCTTTGATATGTTGATAACTATAACATATCTAAAATGTCGAGGATTTCTATGCGCCAAACCCGAGCAAAGTTAAACTGATATAAAATTACATGAAAATGGCACAGGAATACATCAATCGGCGACCTTCTGAAAGACAGCTCCTTCGGTTCTCACAAAGGAAATGTCAAAATCGTGATCGGAAGCAGGAGTAATTCAAGCTCACATGGCAAACGCGCCAAAGCTGCGTGTTTTTATTTTGCCAGCATAAAGAACAACAATTTCATAAAATCATGTCGGAGGATTATCCTAATGGCCCGTATTAGAATAAAAAGACGATTGTCCATACAGAAAAAAATTCATGGATGTTCGGAGAATTCGGTTTCAGAAGAAGCTCTCTTCACAGTCTTACATGGTAGATATATTTTTAGCCTAAATATCTCCGCAAAACCCACTTTCATTCTTAGAAAAAGTAAAGGCAACAGTTACAGTCAAACTTGCATTATCTTTCCTACCGGGTAACGCTCAAAACTAGTGAGAGCCACATTTGTATTATATATGATAACTAAGCGGCTGCCGTCTTACAACTGTTGCGAAATTACAACCACAAATTTCAATTCGTTCGTCTTAAGTTGCACTTTAGCTCGACGAAACAGCCTAGAATGAAAACAAATCGAATAATAGAAGAGTAAAGATACACAGAATTCTGATGTTTCGAAAAGAACAAAATAACTACACAGCGACATCATGCGGTGATGCGAAAATTTATTGGGTACAGCTTACCTCAAGCTCAAATCAGGCGGCTTCACATCGCTTTAAGAAATTTAATTTATTTCTGTATAAACAACAAATCTATCGCTTCCACTCTTTGTGCCCAGCTATTCTCCACAATTACTCTGAATCAAAGCGATCTCCTCCTGACAACATACTAATAAACAACTGCTTCGGTCCTACTTGTCCACATGGCCACTCGACGACATGTTGAGGACAGCTGCAAACGCTGCTGCAGTAGGAATTTCACGATCACTCCGATGATAAAATACATTGAATAAAAGCAATAAACAATCGATAAAGGGAAATATGTATATTTCAGCCATGAAATTGACGACATTCTTCGGGTAAAAGACAAATTTCCTCACATCTCGAATATCGCATCCAAGATGGTTCACAACAAGGTCACGCGCGTGTTGCACGTTTTCCGCTCTAACTTTTGATTGGCGCACAGAACAATGCTTAAACTTGGCCGTGAGGTAAAAGACAGGAGAATGAGGAAAATAAAGCTAAAAAAAGTTGTTTTTGTCACGTTTTTCTTTGTTTTTTCGTCGATTTTTGGATTTCAGCCAATCAGAACGCACCATTTAATTGAAATTAAAAATTAAAAGTTAACACCTTTTAATCGATTTTGCGTTCTGCCTGCCTAGTTCTTACGCGGACCATTACTTAAAGCTTCGTGAATTTCTGAGCGACCATCTTGCTCCATCTCTTATATTTTTCCACTTACAGTGGTATTAAGTCTCTCTTCCTTATTTTAAACATATGCTCCGAGCACGATATATATTTATGGGTCTTGCAACAGTCCTGTGTGAATGTTCATTAAACCACTGATTTTCTACTTCACTGTTCGTAAGTTTGTTTGCACCGGGAGGCACAACAAATATTTATAGGCGTAAATACAGAATACAGGGCCAATTTAGTAAAAACCAGGGTAAATGTTCCAATCACTTTGCTTCACATGTAAGCTATTTTTAATATCAGAAGACTGGGAGGGGTTTACTGAACCTTCAAAACCTTCACTGCAATGATCAATAAATTTCCAACAGCAATACTGTATTCAGTAGTTTTGCATTAGATAGTGACTTCGGTTTCAAGTATTTCCTTGAAATTGTTGGTACGAAAATTACCCTTTAGTTATGAATTATACTTGAAATGATTATAGTGGTTTAGTGTAAGAACAAGAGGCTAATTCAGTTGCTAATAAGGGTGAGTACATCAGGAAAGAGTATGCGTTGAGAAAATCCCTCAAAGGGCTGAAGTACAAGAAACAGAAAAGAAAACTGAATGTTTTGCAACGTTTATAAAGAGAATCAGAAGAGGCTTGAAAAATATACAACTTAAGTTTATTGTTTGTGTAAATCTGATTTACAACTTAGAAATTATACAAGGTAAAATTGATTTTTTATCAACCATCAAAAGAAGTTATTGTCGGGCTTGAGCCCTATCCTCTCAGCAGTTCTATCGACGATATTACCCTTGGCTTATTTGGCCTAGATCGGTATGTGCTGCTGATTTAGGGTGGTGACCATTTCACCCTTTAGAGTTTTGAACAAGGTGTCTGTTTGGGTTGTGAAGGTTGAAGAAGAAGCGGTCTATAGAGTACAGTCTATTGGTACCACCATTCCCCACCCCAAGTTTTGCCATGTTTCTAAGTTTAAAAGCTACCTTAATTCTGTATGCTAAAGGAAATGAATCAGGATTATAAAATAAGGTCTTAAAAAGGGTAGGGAAATGCACAATGTGTCTGACTACCCATGCTCTTTTTCCGTGTAAGCCCAGGGAGGCGATCTCACATTTTAATTCCCTTTTACCACTTGTTGTAACAGCAAAGTCAGTCCAGGTTTATGGTCTCTGAAAAATATTTTTGCCAGCCTCAACACAAGTTTCTAACTGTTATTGTTGACTGCAAATAATATTATCTTAATAATCATTTTACATTTTTTTTCCAAGGCATCCTATGGTGTTTTCAATATCCACTAGTACAAGGCAATTTTTAAGTTCAGAGGGTTTACTTTGATTTCATTAACAGTAAACTACATTTTTACACAGACACAAACTAACCTGGCAGGTTGATGTCCAAAGGTGTAAAACATTACATGCAACTACATGGCAAAAAATGATCACAGTGGCCGAAGGAAAAGCAAAAAGAGAAATGTCATCATTTTTTAATTTTATAAATTCCCTGCCTTTGAAGCATATTTAGCCAGATGTAGTCTTTGTCAAAACATGCAAACTTGAACATTTATTTTCTGACCTTAGCTAATCTTTTTTAAACCATACTCTTGTTCCAGTGGGTAGTGTAGTTTTTGGAATGAAATATTTATAATTTCTCCCTCTTTGTTTGCAACAAAACAAAACACAATTGAATGAGGACTCAAACTGAAGGCAGCGTAGTAACTGCTGTCATGAAAAGAGAATTCCAAACACACAAAATAATTACCCTTTCATTTGCCTATATAAGTTCATTTCTAAGAAACTACGGTAAAGTTTAAATTAAATCACACGAAGATAAGAACTTAAGCATATCAAGAGTGAATGATCTCTTGGCAAAATTTATTTAGCTTCTAGTACATAACAAAATGCATGAACTACGAGATTTGACCATGCCACTCAATCATCCAACGCAACTCTGCCAGGATAAGTTCA